CCAATGTGAAGTACGTCCCCATGCTAATATTGCGTATAAGAGGATGCTTTGGATGAGAGCATAGTATGCTGTTTTGACAATCCTTGTTGATGTACTATTCCGCAATCGTAACATTAAAAAAATAGCTGTATTAATTTTTTTTGTTAGATGATCACAGTGGTAATTAAAATTTAATTTGCTGTCTATCGTACAGCCCAATAATGACATTTTATTGGTAACAAGGACCTCAATTCCTCTTTTCAGGGTTAGCGGCATGATCACTGTCTTATCCGTATTGAGCATCAGGTTATTATCAGTGCACCATTTTGTAACATGTTCAATGTAAGTTGAATTTGACGTTTCGCATAGTTGATATCAGGGCTGCTACACATCAAAGTAGCGTCGTCAGCATACAGTATGCACCCAACATCAGCGGGTAGGGTCAAGGGCATGTCATTAATATAGATAAGAAACAATATGGGGCCAAGGATTGACCCTTGCGGCACACCATGTTTTATTGGCAGTCTATCAGATAGGGAGTGACCGTAACGTACGCATTGGTATCGGTGACATATGATTTAACCAGCTGTGCACTGGTGTTGCCAAATTTGTAGGCTTCCTTGAGCTTGTTCACTAAGATTTTATGAGACACACAATCAAAAGCCTTGGAGAGATCCACAAAGGCAGCAACCATGTGACGACCATCCTCAAAACATTCTAGTGCATTGTTGATAAAGGTAATAACTGCATCTGAAGTGCTTTTTCCCTTCCTAAAACCATATTGATGCCGATAAAACAGATTGTTTATTTCAAAAAAGCTTATAAGCTGTTTGTATAAGATCTTCTCTATGACTTTACTGAATATGGGTAAAATAGATATCGGTCGGTAGTTACTTACATTATTCATATCGTTGGAACCGTTTTTATACAGGGGAAGTACTAAAGCTACCTTCATTATATCTGGAAAGACTCCTGTGCCAATGATAGTATTGACTAACTTGGTTAGTGGGTAGACAAGGGAATTAATATTGAGTTTAATCAACTGAATGCTTAGACCGTAAATATCCCTGGAATGACTATTTCTCAGACTGGTTACTGCGTCGCGAATTTCAACTTGGGATACATTTTTAAAATCAAAGGTCGTATGAGAGGAGTTTAGTTTACAATAGTTCATGGAGTCGGTGTTCCTACTGGGTAAATTGGCTAAAATGTTGTCTACGATATTAGCAAAATACATATTAAATTCATTGCAAGATAAATTGGATTGAGGTACAATATTACAATTTCGTTGTGAATTGATTACTGTCCACATCGCTTTAGTGGGATTGCAGGAGTTTTTAATAAACGTATCATTTGCTTTCATTTTAGCCGATCTTATTTCCTTTTTATAAGTTAAAGATAAGGATTTCTTTAGGTCATAAAGGTTCTGAGAGCGGTACCTGTTATACAATTCACTAATGAGTTGTAAATGATCTCTTAAACGAGATAGGTTTTGCGAAAACCAGTTTACGACCTTGCCATCATTTTTTTTAGTTGTATTTCTAATTGGGAAACTAGCAATGTAAAAATCATAAATAATATCGTGAAAGTTCTTAAACGTACTATTAAAATTTTTGTGTTCTGAACGAACAATAGTCTTCCAATCACAGTTTGAGAGTTTTTTAAAGAAGTCTTGCATCCCCGACCTAGTCAAAGGACGATACAAGTTCTTTGCACACACTACATTTCCTTTCGATGCACTTACAAGTTCAATTTGTTGACCTAGATGATCGGATAAACCTGTATTTAGTGTCGAAGCACGATAATTAGAAGTGGAAAAGTTAACAAATATATTGTCTAAACAGTGCACACCGCGTGTTGGGGTGAAAATTGTACGTATAAAACCATTTGATTCCAAAAAGTCGCAAATATTCATAATCACAACACAAGATCATCAAATCTCTTAGTATTACATAAACATAGACTCAAACTCTCATCTAACAATTCAATTAACATTCAATTATATAATAAACTTCCGGCAATCTTTAAAACCTTGAAACTATCCCAATTCAAATCTTCCCTAAAAAAAGTTCTTATCTCACATGCATTCTACTCAACTATAGAGTACTTGGATTGGGCCTCCATGCAGTCAACTAGTCCTGTATGTTGTATGTATTGTATGTCATTACGTTTGTCTTATACTTGTATTTGTCTCTCTTGACTTGCCACAAACAAAATTATATTTATTGTAAAGTGGTTTGAATAAATATTATTATTATTATTATAATATTCAAAAGGAACTTTTCTGCTTGATTGGAGGTGGCCTTTCCAGTGGCAATATTAAACAATTGATCTTTCGGTACATCTGAAAAAGGATTCATGAAATCCTCTATAGTAGTTATTAGTGAATTTAATGCCTTCTTGTCTTTTTTTATCGGCTGAAATATCTTCCTTTTTATTGCAACCTGCATCTTCAAACGTTTGTGTCACGATTGAAGTTCTTATACTGAATGACTAAGTGTCCATCTTTTCCGAGCTTCCACAGAATTCGTTATGGAAGTTACTCCTGATCGTCGTGCAGCATTTGCATTTATGGTCTGCTCGAGACTTAAATCTATTGGTGATCGGGAAAACGGTTTATTAGTTCGTTTAATTGAAAATAAACCAATTACCAATTGACTGTTGTAGTTAGGGTACTTTGTTTCTATGTCTAATACATTGTCGTGGAATCTTGTTGTCCATCGAGAATAATTTGGCTGATTAAAGATGAAGAAGAGCACTGATATTCAAGATAATATGCTAATTTGCATCTTCTGCGTGGCAACGCTAATAAGCCCATAATTTTTTTGATTATCACAAAAATATTTCTTATTGCAGAATAGAAGAGACATACATTTTTAAATAGGTCAGTTGTGTTCGATGTTAATGGTTTAACTAAATCTTCTTTAGTTAACATGCTCTCACCAGAACCGCGAGTCTCATCTTTATCTGATTCCGTACTTAGCACATGTGGTTCAGAAGGGACTTCTTCGGAAAGATTATTATACTTTTCAATAGCAGTTTTTTTCACTACTGTATAACGACGGTAGCAAGAAGTATGATATCCATAGACGTAGCTGAGGTTATCCGGTATATTTATTAGATTTGAGCATACCCGGATAGGCCAAAGTGGAACTCTATCGGTTAAAATTTTGATCATTCGCGTTCAGTGGATTTCGGGCTAGCTCCCCTACTAAAAGTATACTGGGTGTTCACTGTTCAGGCAGTATATTATAGCATCCAGAAAGTAACATTTCTTCATCTAAGATTACATCAGTGTCGTTCCTGGTGTCGTCGGTCTATAAAAAGGAGCTCTCCTAAAGGCCAACCTTTGACAGTTTCTCCACGACAAGCACCGGGTTTTAAGAAAAATTGCTTCCAAATTAAATTTTCACAGTATTTTAGATAAGCAGTTTTATCAAGGCAGTTACAATCTTATAATATATTAATATCTAGTTACCTTATACGTTTATCAACATCTAGGTACTTTATATATGCATCAGTATATTTTGGGGGGCATTAATCACTTTACACCAAATCGAATATGATTACGAATAGTGTAAACTTTAAATGATTTGTCACAATGCGATGGGTAAATCGTACAAGATGTGTAATGATATACACGAAAATACTTCGCATTTTCAACACTACACGACAAGACGTTTTACTGTGTAAAGTGCAACCGTGTTCTTAAGTTAGTAATCTATTCTATTCGCTTTGCTACAGTTCGCTCGTGAATTAAAAAATTACATACACTAGAAAAATGTTCACGTTTTTTAGTTGAAGAACAATCCACGCCAAGAACATAGATGTTATTAATTCCTGGCGAATAGAATTACCAGGAAAGTCACATCGAACCAGTGTAAAACCAGGGGTTGGAACCCCTATGAAATATAGATTCCGGTTCTCCACTATTTAGGTAGAATTATTTTGTAGGGGTTTCTGTAGCGGTTTCGGTTCTGTGGCTTCGGTATTCAGTATTAATTATAGGTATACTTAGGAAATAAATAATACACAAAATTAAAATTCTTTTATATAAACATTTTTTTAGGTTTAATTGAAACTTATTTTGAGCTTACACCAAAGAATACTTAATCTTACACGTTCGTTTCACCTCTGTCAATTGCCTGTCTTTTTCTACCTTCAGCAGTAGTTTCAACTATTGCATTCCTCATAGTCCGCACACGGTACACTCTTCAACCCTCTTACCGCTTATGATTCATTTTCGATATTTTAGTCACCCTAATATTTTATATTTTTTCAGTACTAATGTGTGGGCAGCTCTGACAAAAAGTGAGAATTTGTATTTTTTAGAAATTCTATAATTCTGAACGTAATTTACACTAGATTTTATTCTTGGTCATCAAGTCGATAAAGGATAAGTCACTCTCACCGGGGATAAGGGATGAAGTAGCATATGACGTGTATACTTTCTAGAAAGTATGATATGCTGACTAGAATTTTCTAGCTAGATGCTTTTCGTTTGCTATGCAAATTGAATAATGTGAAATGTAAGAAAAGCATCATTTCAGAAGCAACTATATAATCTGACAAAGCACAACGTATCTACTCTATCTGCAAGAGAGGCTCCTGGACAATAATAATAACGGTATACCCGGTTGCCCCGTTTCCAAGGAAACCAAGATCTTTTTTCGAGATCTAGGTGTACAATTAAAGATTTCTTTTCGTCATACTTCTATTAATAATCACTATTATCTAATCGACTACAAACGTTTATATATCGCGAACACCCAAACCTTTCACTTCCATTTCGCCATGTCGCTTACACCACTATTGATATTTGTGTTTGCCATTTTATTAACAATGGCAGTATACGGGTTTGTTAGATGGAAAGTAATGAACGATATGGTTAAGGGTAAGTCAAATACCTTTTAGAGTTAGGATATAAAGAACTCAGCTAGAACCAATAGATATGAACATAGCGTTTAATGATAATGTTATCTGAACATCGGTAAGTACTTTGATATACCTACTACCCATTTTATTAAAATCGTCCGCATTCAGTACTAGATAGTGCAAGTTTTTTAGGTGCTAATAATGCTTAACGCATTTGAGGTTGCAATTATTTTGGTGGGTAGCTGTTTTTTGTATGTGTTTATACGATGGACGTGCTATGTGTGTTGGAAAAGGGCGGCAACTGTTCGTTCGGATCGACGCTGTAAGTTTGGTTTCTAATTTCTCTTGGCAAGAGGGGTATAATTATGTTAAAATTATGCCCTTAGTGAATTTTTAGGATCAACATTTAGAATAATTATTAGTCCATTGAGCTCCCTTATTAGGTATATTTTGTTTGTCATTGTTTTTTCCGTGTACACTCCTTTAGATAATATAAATCCAGTCATACCACTGTGAATTCACAATTCTATTTAATGATTTAGATTAGGGGCTTCGTGAACAGTACTTACTGGTTGACAGTAAGGTAATATAATGCTCACCAACTGCAATTGACCTCGGATTTCAATAGATGAAATAAATTCCGTCAATAATTGCAAAACATGGAGCAATATTTTAATCTTATCAGATAAGCCCCTATCGTTTAGGGCCTCCAAGTTACAATTGCTATATGATCGTGTTAATTGTTATTATGGAAACTACCGTTGTCATTGGCATTTTTACATTTTTAGTAGTGTTTAGTGTACTAACTATATATTGTGCATCTGGCGTTATTAGAAAAGTGTGGATAAAACTTTACCGTAAGCGATGCTTTTTCTTCATATAGGAAGGTATCATTACCATACAAAGCACTGTGTCAGTCATTGTATTTTGATACCCGACTATCAGATGGCGTATTCCTTGAGAATCAGTATGAGCTCAATCTGACAAATGGAGAAAAGTGCAATACAGATCGATGACTAGTTAATACTCCCTCCTCCAATTTCTTAGTTATTTTAATGTCGGCTGTACTTTCTGTGAAATTTAATCTCGTCTATTGTTTCAGCTCAACAAACCATTTGGAGTGTATCAGGACAGATGAACCATGAAAACAGTACCGATAACCAAAGATGGCCCACCCATAACAGCAATGTTTCAGTAGATTCCTTTATATTGACGGAATCTGCAAGAATGCAGCAAAAAGATCGCGTCCCACCTCCACCGTATTCTGAAAGTAAGATGCTTTTTATTAAGTGGCATACGCAAACTTGATAATTAAGTTTCAGTTGAATTACCGTCATATGAGCAAGCGGTTTGTATGACTGCTCCTAAAAGTAACACACCCGCGGTCCATGCAGCTTCGAGTAGTAGAACAAATCAAGATCCAAGTCCCAGTTAAGGTTCGGGGTATATTTATTACTGTTACCGATTTCGTATGTGATATATAATTTATAAGTATACTGTAAGTGCGCCATATGGTTTTATGAATGCTATGATTAGATTTTTGTTGATCTTGCAGTGTTTGTTGAACGTATACCTACTCTGTAAATGTCAAATGATTTTTTTGTAATATCATTTTAGAATCACGAACAGCTTACACACTAGATTTTTTGACTGTACGGTGACGCAATACCAATGTTGCCAATAAACACACTAGCGAGATAAGTAAAAAGTATTCTCGTAAGTATATTTTTCAGTCTTCAAAAGACCGTTCTGGCTTTTGATTGGTTCGTGAGAGAACTAGAGTAAACTACTACCATAGAGTAAACAACGTAGTTTATTCTATGCTACTACAGTAAGTTAGATATTCTCTCTTTTTACTTGGTATTTATGTAAACTGAATTTTTTTTACTTTTTGTATTAATTCTCAAGTTGACGTTTTACATTGTCATTGTTTACAACGCATACATTGCCACCACCTTAAAATAAATTTAAACACGTTACACAAACCCATATGAAAATGAAAATAAGATGTACAGCTTTAAGAGGGATCTACCGCACCCGTTTGCTGTAGCATTTCGAGTGTTCTAAAATAACGTGCCATCTTGTTATTATTAAACTTACGAGAAAGCGATTTGAGTGCATGATAGTAGGCACTATAAACTAAATGGGTGAAGGCTTATTTTCCGATGTATTTTATTTATTTACCCAAAACAAGCCTGTAAAGTTTGCGTTTTTAGAGAAAGTTTGAACGAAATGATACAGAAATCCAAGACAATAAACGAAAAGGGGAGCATTTACCCAGATAAAGTGTACATTCAAGAAACTGTACAATTTTTTTGATTTGGAGACCTTACCACAGATTTAAATATACTACCCTTACATTTGATAAAATCGGTACAGATTAGTGGCAGACCGCAGAAGTGTTGTAAGTAATAAAAGTATCATATTACGATGTGGAGATACGACATCATTAAAATAAAAGCAGCTATTGTATTCGCAAAAATTTTATTCAGTTATGGCTGTTTGCACCAAATTTAAGCGGAGCTTAGCTTAAGCATTGCTTAAAATCCACGGCAACCATTGTCTCAATAATCGTTGCCATGGATTTTAAGCTATGCTTAAGCTAAGCACCGCTTAAATTTGTCGGTGCAAACGGCAATTAGTGATGAGTATAGTATCGCGGGTATGTATCTACCTATAAAAACTATGTTGCTTGAATGAACGAGGGTTTTCACAAAAGTTTTAAATTTTAATCAAATACATTTGTTATTTGTGAATGATTTTTTTGATACTTTACTATAACAACGTTTACCTAAGGAGTCTGACAGGAGCTAAGTTTTGATTACTTATTCAAAAATATACCTACTACATTTTCGTTGAAACTGTAAAAATTAGCAATATGGTATTCAGTCCCACAAAAACACCCTGCAGAGTAGTTTTATTTATGGCGAAAGTAATCTCGGATCGTCCGAATCGTTTCAATAGTACCTTTCACCTATGTACTCCTTTGCTTTTTGCTATATCAACATCAATAGTAAATTATTTCTACGTATTATTCTCGGAACAACTCGCAAGTAAATGTACCTATAAATATTAACCGGCTACACAATTAAAAAGCCCGATTACTTTACGGCAAGGTATGTTTAAATCCGTAAATATTAAGTAATTAAAATATTTATTTCCCTAACCTTGTAGCGCAACTTGGAATGGCCAGATATAAGCTTGAAGGTCCTCGTATCATTCATGTACAGAAAAAAGCGTTTGTCCTGTATCTTGTTCCAATACATCATCATAAACATAAAGGCAATTGTTATAAAAGTGAGTACACGTCGATTTAATTTTCTCTATACCTACGCTTATTCTAGGTATGTATAGAGTATAGTCAGGGAGACATTTCTGAAAAAGGTTCTCTAAATCATGTCTAACAGCGGTTTGTGCTACAAACTGGCAAAGCCGTTTTTCGGTTATTTCGAGCCCCCAAGGCACGCCGCTGAACGTTTTGGGCAGAGCTGTGCAAAGGAATTGGTACAAGAGGCTTGGAAAACCCTCAAGCTCTAAAAGAGCTTGCAATTCCAAGGCTTCAAGCCTTTTCTAAAAACAGGGCTTTGGAATTTACGTCTAAAGTCTTTTCGCGTGAACTTGGGGCTTTGGATTTCAGACAAAGAGCTTAAATTCCTTTTAAAAGAATTGAAATCACTTTTTCATTGAAAACTCCATTTTAAGGATGCAATTCCCTTTAAAGAGCTTCAATTCCTTTTTTATTATACCTGAATCACAATCTCCGTTTTAAACACTCAAATGCGTGCGAAAAAGGGCCTTTAAAACACACGTGCTTTAAAGTTGCTAAGTAACGATACTTCAAGTATGACTTTTGAAACTGTCATCTGGATGAAATAAAAAATCCTCTTAGGTCGCTTTCTGTAAATGCAGAACATTTCTTTGGCTTTTGTACCTATCCTTTGGTTGAAGCTTTCACAAACGCGCGTAATTTAGGGTATGCTTCCAAATCTGTTCCACTTTTTAATCGCAGCATTGCTTTAAAGTTTTGAATGAATGCACCAAAATATAGAAGATTTAAATACCTTTCCTTCATATATGCCAGCATTATGGATGCATTTAAGACTGTATTCGTAAGTAACTCTATTCATCCATGGAAACAACTTTTCATATTCTTTATAATAGGCTTTGCTGGAGTTGGATTTTACACCTACCAACGTTTGTTTAGATTTTACAACAATCGATTTAATGGACGGTGTATTATCTTTTTCAACGGAAATCGTTTAATTCACAAAGACGATGATTTTTATAAGCAAACGTCAAGTGACATTTCCATGGCAATCGTGAAATTACGAACACCCAGCCCACTTAATTAGACATGTATTCGAGTATAACGTCAATATGACTTCATTGTATTTCCTATTTTTAAATTATACTGCAGGTATAATAAAAAATACTATAAGATACACGTGTATAATTAGTCTTTAAAGCACTTGCAACGTTAAAGGCACTCCGCTTTGCGTCGTGCCCTTAAACTCGTTGCGCGTGCTTTAAAGACTTGATTATACACTTGTATCTTAATATACTATTTAATAGGCTTGAAATCCTCTTTAAAAAGGCTTCAATTCCTTATATACCTCCCACTCCCACATCATTTTTTATTTCCAATTTTTGTGAGCTTGCACTTTGCAGTACGTAGAACTGTTAGTGCGTGCGGTGTTGTTGTTCTCTAATGGGATAAAGTGTAAGTGCCTACCTCTATCTAGAGCTATCTAGAGCCTTAACTAAATTATAATACAATTATATGCAATTATACTGATGCACTAGCAAGCAAGCAAACCAAACCAGCACTTGTGCAAACTATTTATATTTATTACGTTATATTACGTAATATTGAATTAGAAGTTCTCCAGAAGATCCCAGAACGGACATTATTTAAAAAATTTAATGCAAGTTTGCTAGTGCCGCAGTTGAGAGGTTATTTTCATTTGCGTCCTACATTAATTCACCTCGGCGCCATGCGTTGAGCGAGAAAAACTTTGAGAATCTGGTGTTATTAAAGGCAAATGCCAACTTTGATGCCCATTTGTCGTAATGTGACCTGTAATGGTTTTACCTTTTACCATAATTACTGTCTACAGTGTCTATACTGAATTTATTTTTTTTGTTATGATGGAAAAAATCGTCTTTTATTTATTCTTTGTAAGAATAAAATTTTATTTTTTATAATGCACGTAACTTGTTAAGTAATTATTTGTTTGTTTGTTTGGTGGGACGAGATCTAGAATCTAGAAAGGCAAAGTAGTTTAGTTCGTTCTTTAAAGGAGTTCGGTTTCTTTTCATAAAGCATTTCAATTCCTTTTGCGCAGGAATTCCATTCCTTTGCCAAGGATTTCAATTTCTTTTAATTCCAAATCCCAATTCCTTTTCCTAACGGATTTCAATTCATTTTTAAAAAGGAATTCAATTCAATTTCAAAGGGCTTTGAGCTTAAGGCTTCGTAACTTTAAGCCTTTTTTAAAGGGCTTTGGGATTTTAAGCCCTTTTCGTGCTAAGACGAATTTGAGCTTTCCATTCACCATTCCTCTTACACGGGCTTGAGGGCTTTGGAATGAAGCACATTGCAAAAGGGCTTTGCACAGCTCCGGTTTTGGGTTATACTTTACGTGTAGAATCACATCCATTAACATTTAAGTATGCGGAGACCTCTTGCAGCGTCATATGCCTGGGGCTTAATTACAAATATGGCGCCTGGCAAGTCCAAAAACAATGAAAAAGGCGTTCTTTTTTCCGTATTTTTACTACACTGGCCACTCATTCCTCATTTCGGTGGCTCGGAGCAATAATATGCGAATTGCGACTACCGGATGTTACACACCTGAAGGGCTTAACTGCGGATGTTAACTATGCAACCAAGAGGCAGAAGTTGGTTTGGCGGCGTAATTTTAGGGCATTCGGTAAGTAAGAAACCATACGAAAACGTAAATGTAATGACTCCATTATTTAGTTGATGCAAAGAAATGAGAAGATTTTTTAAACTAAATATAGTACCTATTTAGTTTAAAAAATGTTCTAATTTCTTTATATGAAAACTTTTTAAAACATTGTGACTTCCTCCCTACCACTTTCAAAGTTGTGTAAAATAAAGTTACTTTCGCTGCCATTGTTGTAGCAATTTCCCCTACAACCGCAGCTCTGAATCTGAATGTATGGAAGGAGTTCTCCATCTTCGTCAAGTGTCCGCCGATACTAATTGCAGAATCTTGTTTTGCAGCCTCTCTTGTAGCCCCAAGACAAGAAGAGGACGCACGCACGAGGGATGGGTGCAAGTGACATCAAAACTGGCTTCATTGCATTGTCCTGGATTCACCATCCACACACCGTTACTTTTAAATATCCGTAACTCCATTTTTTCAAATGGCAACCCCCATTTTGTTCTTCACCCTTGTTTTCCTTTTTCCCAGACCTTTAATTTGATGCAAAAATGTCAAAAGCTGCTTCAAACGGTTTCCGAGATATTCCATGTTTTAGTTGCTTCTTGTGGAAAATTGATAAAAAAATTAAGTCGCTTGATGTTA